ATTAAAAAATTTAAATATTAAAAAAATTAGTAAAAATCTTCGCAGGCAAATTTGCCTGCATTACAATTTAAGGAATAGAGCTTGCCAAGAGTGCCACCTGCCTTTTCTTCTTAACCAGGCTTCTGGCTTGTATGCTGAATAATAGTGAAGAGTTCTCATATCTAGTTGACCTCTACTACAAACCACTACTGTAGCTACACACCTCTCTAACAGACTTTATATTTTTTTTAAATCAGAAGAATTGGTTCAAATAATCATTGAAAAGAGTTCGATTTAGCTTTATTTTTTAAAAAATTATAATAACTTTTTAAAATATATCTTTAAAAATATAATTTTTTTAGGGGGTTGGGATCTTCCGGCCTAGTGGTTTAGGCACTCAACTCTCCATGAGTGGGTTTTGGGTTCAAGTCCTAGTAGGTACATTTATCTACGAATATTTGGAAGTATCTGCTATAGGAAGTCCAAGTGAATACAAGTCTGGATTAGGAATTTCCAGAAGGAGGTCCATTGTGGAGTAGTTGGCACTATGTATAACAATAGTTGTTATAGAAGGTTCTATTATACAAAGGTTGTATATATAAATTCGTGATTGGCAAGATAGCACCAACAACCCCTAAGGTGGCATTGGGGATCTTGTTTGGGAGGATAACTGGGCGGTAACCAGAATTAGAAAGTGGTGAGAAATGTAGTGAACACAAAGGGATCTGTGATAAAGAATTGGCCTTACTAGATTTAAAACACCTCTGGCACATACAGAACTCTCTGGCCAATAAGAAGTTGAAGCATAGAGGCATATACGTGTTGATAGACCTAACAGGCTCTAATCGTACCCATATAGGAGCCTTTGGTGTTAAGAGAACCTGGGATCATCAATATAGATATAGCTGGTATAAGCGTATATAGTGGTAACCGGAAACTACAACTGCCGAGAATCACCATAAAAAGAAACGATGATGCACCTCATGATGCCCTCCAACTATACTGACTACTAGAAGCATTTGCGAAACATGTTTGGGTGGCCTCATTACTATATTGAGAAGTACAGTCATTAGCACAAACCTAATTGGATATGTTAAGACCTGGGTCCCGAAAGTCACAGAAAACCTAGCTAGTTACAGCAGCATGCAGGCTTGAGATACTTACCTATTCGGGTAGAGGCAGCTGCATAGCTTGAGATACAAACTTCTGGAAAGTACACTAAGTAAGGATTGAGGAAGAAATCGCTCTGTCAGGCATACCAAACTGGAAGCAATAAGCGCCTACCTGGTACACACCAATTTGGAAGTTGAAAATAAAAGGTTTGTGGGTAATGTGATGGACATGTGAATACTAATTGGCGGTTGGGGAAGGATGTATAAAATTCAGGTCAATCACATGTGTGGGGATGTTGATGGCTTTGGTGAGTTTTAGCCGTGGATAAATAGTTTTAGTACTTGATGTCCTAGTCCTAGTTCTGATATATAATATGTATGTATTTACAGCACCATCATATGTTAATTTACTTAAGTATTAATAAAAGTCTGGGGCAGGAGCTACACCCAAAATATTAAAAAAAATATATATATATAATATTTTTATATAATCACATATGAAAAAAAGTTAAAAATAGAACACATTGGAAAAAAATAATTAATTAAATTAGTTTAAATTTATATAATAAAATTTTAAAAACATTTTAACCAATCAAAATTCAAGAAATTTGACCAATAAAAATTAAGTAACTATAAAAACATTAAAATCAACATTTTAAATAAATTAAAGTGTTAAAATTTTAAATTTTAAAAATAGGACAAATGTAGCCTTTAAGTGTCGCGCACTGTAGATAGTGTGACGGCTTTTCTTATATAATGATCAGCAATTAACCTAACTATAAAAATCAAATTGAAATATGTTGCGTAAAAAAAAAGCTCAAGATATTTTAGATAACTGGAAGGTATAGTTATTACTAAGCTAAGTATCTTAATAAGAATCTAATTCAGATTGTATTGAACTGCTCATTTGAAATGAGTTAAAAACTTAATCCAACAGTAATGAACCGCTAGTTCGACACTTAGTGCAAGCTGGGACTGCTAGTCTGAAGGATAAAAAATCTGCGAAAATGCAGATTTTTGTAGGATTTTTTGCAAAAAACTGCAAAGTTTTTTATATTTGGAAATTTTGCACAGAACTGTATTTTAATTTCTGTAGCTATAGCTGGTGAGTCTGAAGATTTACACAGATTTTCATTTCCCGATGTTCCTAAATCGTGGAACGGATCGAAAAAAGATTGTACCGATAAGAAATACACGAAAAAAAAGACATTAAAGATAGCTTAAATTGTGCAAGGTGCTTCATGATATTTTAATTCAACTTTCAAAAGAATGCGATGATGATGAAAGAATGCTTAGGAAATTACAAACCGTTGGGATATTATACAGTGACTACAACTCTTGACTATGGATATTCCAATGTGATACGTTAGTCGAATTCAACATCATGTTTCGAGAAGTTACTGGTAGTATAAATAATCCACTATTAGGGTTTGTTTTAAAAAACATATTAAGATCGATATTAATTATTTCACAGACATTAGAATTAATCCAAGAAAGTAAATCAAATATCAACACTTTCGATGATTCTGTTAATGAAGATGAAACATCAAAGGGTTATACAACTTCTCCCAGTCTTTATACCATCAACTCATTTGAGTTTTTAAAAACTTGCATGAACCAGAAAATAACCCTTACTTAGAATGAAATGGTTTGATAGTAAGTTTAATTAGCGTTGATAGAAATCAAACCAAAAACATAAGCACATTTAATTATTTTATAATCTAATACGTATCAAAATTATTTTAATATTTTACTTAATTTGTATTTTCTAATACTATTGAGAAGTTCTTATTTTTGATTTATAAATTGCTTTGATCATGTCACGCATCTTTGCAAATTGTCTAAATTTAACTTTAATTGTTTATTTCGTATTCGTTAGCAGTTCACCCTGTAACACTATCAAAAGCTGCAATTTAAAATTGAATTATTTTATTTATAATCGCTTATTGAAAACTTATGCTATTTTACGCTTTGTTAATAATTGAGTTATTCCTGGTATAAACAATATGATCTTGAATGAGTTTTTATATTTATATTACGAGTTAAGTTGAGTTAAACTTGACCCGAGTCAAATTAATAAATTAAAAAACCCAGCCGGCATCAACATAGTTCTGGCCCACACTAACCCTAAAATTCTGCTGGGGACATTTTGACCGGGTCAAGTTTAACTCAACCTAAAAACCAACTTGACTCGTAACATTGATACGACAGAATAGGCAATGCTAAGAAAAAAAATGCATACATGATTTTATTTTATTTTTATTTTGAACTTGATGTCTCGATGCCTGTGCACTGAAAGTATATTTTATTCAAAACACCAGTAATAATATGGGATCTTTGCTATGAAAATCACCCTTCGGAAAAATTCAGGTCAGACTTAATCGGAAAATCTCGAAAGATGATTTTCATAACAAAGATCCCATATCTATCTTTTTGCCAATTCAACTACAGCATTATTACTGGCTTGCAATTGAAGATTACAATCAGAAATAAATGAACTTCTTCATCCTACTTGATGTTTGGTAAATTACGTACTGTATTTCGTTATTTAGAAAATCGTACCCCCTAAAAATAGCATGCATTGTTTCAAAATAACGCCCATGCGCGTCCCGAAACAACGCGCACATCATATGAGGGTTTCAACCAATAATTAGATATAGCTTGCGCTTAGGCGAAATTTTATTGTTGTTTCAAAAAAACAATGCCCATGCGCGTACTCTAAATAACGCGCATATACCTAAATTTAGCTGCCCGATACGATAGTATCGGAGCAGCATTTTGTCTCGAATCGATCACGGG